AAGTTCTACAGCATAGTTTATGTGTAATTTTGAATTTCCACTTTTTTCGAGAATAGTCGTATCTATTTATTTTAGGTGGAGTCGCACCTCTGTAAAAACTCTGGAATCCAAATCGTTATATTCAGAGTCTGGAGATAATTAGCTTTGTCATTTACAGGAATGATCCATCGTGGGAAAACACTGCCATCGTAAGCCACTCAGAGATTTATCGATACAGCGAAGTGTGGCGCAGCCCAGTGCACGCTGAGAAGAGCAAAGGGACTCAGGTGCCCAACATGGTCCTGAGCAGATAGGTAGCGGAGACAGCGTGTTAAATGCTCACAGAATATATGTGGCTTTCTCACCAACAAGTGGCCACTACCATACCACCGCACCTTTGCTTTCCCAGCATTTTTGAGGAGAAAACAATAGCTATGTGTGTGATGCACTTGCCCCTACGCTGTATTCACCTTCGCAACAAACGGCAAAGGTACTGTCCTCCCAGATAAAAGCCTTCTTTTAAAGGGCAAAGTGTACTAGTGTGCCGTAATAAGTTTAAACGCTCTAGTGGTCGAATTGTATATTTTTTAGAGCGTTGTTTACAGAATCCACATGGTAGCTCAAGAAGGCTACCTCCTTCCTTCAAAGTGAAGTTTTAGCGATGTTTAACCCCTTGAACGCGGAGGGATTCCAGTGCGCCCATTTCCCGAAACCCTATGCATGCTAACGTTTATTTCGGGAAAGGGTTCCAATTGAGAGCTTATTATGTTAGTTATCCTGTAGTATGGATAATATGTCCCCCATGATTCCTTTGGTAGTTGTATGGAGTCAGAAGCGTAGTCATTCACAGCAAATTAGAGAATATAGCACGATGCGAAGGAGACTTGTTGTCGATGTGAGTACATGAAGAAAAATTTCATTCAGTCGACAACTCACATCAACAGCGTTTACTATAGAAAACGTACCCATATGATCTTGGCAGGAAGTCGAAAACACCATCATATCGCCCAAAATATTCTATCTGATTGATTCGAGCTCGACTTGATCATCCAAATTTGAAGTAGAACCCACAATATTGTGTTGCGTCTCTCAATCGAATGATACTTTCTTTCTAGTTGCTAACGAGTCCGCTACCTCCAAGACCCGGCTCCACTAAGAAATCGGCTCCCTTTTTAGAAGTTTTAGAAGTAGAAGCGGGCTTGACATGTGAATAGAGCTTGTTGATTGGCTACTCCAAGTGAGCCGGCTAATATACAGCCCACGAAATACCGATGTTGGGCTCGGCTCGTCTCGTATGCTAAGCAAGCTCCGGCTTCAGTCTCTGGTGTCATTCTTGGCGCTCAGTGAATTCATGGATTAAATGTTACTCGAAGGTAATCAAATGAAGAGGTCGTCCGTTTCTTACGCTTTTATCAGCTCTCCTATTGTTGTTAGAAGTTAAACGGAAGAAAATGTTGGGTTTGCTTCAGGAAATGATACTTGCAATTTGTTAACCTACTTTGCGATACCGGTATGGTGAAACATGCATATACGCATCCTCTAGCGTTTATTACTCACCGACGACTCCTCTCTCCCAAAACACTGACATTCATTCATGTAATAAACAAAAAATGATAACGAAATGTTGGCCTCCATTCCTCTTCTCTCCCGTGTGTTACAGAACGTGGACGACATAACGCATCCTGGCATGACTGCAGCGGACATCACGGACTTACCATTCGATTCAAGTCAGACAGTCCATGACATCCCAATTTGCGTTATTGCACTTGTAGTGACCTATTATTAACGTCAATGTCTTGTTTACTTGTCATTCGTCAAGTTATCCGCCACTGTTCATCAAACTGCTCAACCACTCTGCAAACTTGAACC